GCCACCTAGCTGTCCCTCCACACCCCCAGTCTTGACTCTCATCATTCCAGCCCCAGAGAAATACTCAGGCCACAGATCATCCGTATAAGCCACACATCTTCAGGTCTCCGGCCCTTGGCAGTACTGTGCCCCTGCCTGGAACGCCCTTGCCCGCTTGGTAAACTCCTCTAGAATTCTCTGGGTCCAAATCTGCCACTTGGTGGTCAGGAACAATCCTGGGCAGCTTACTTGATGTTTCTGCAGCTCAGTGTTTTTAGCTGCAAGATGGGAATGGTCATATTTGCCTTGATTCCCTGGAAGGGATGTGGAGGGTTAGGCAAGACAGTGACTGGCAAAATAAACTACAGAGAATAAGACTCAGGAATAATAAAAGAAGTTACAAGAGTAATAACTACCATGGCCTGAGTGCCTGCTACATGTCAGGAACCGCGCTGGGACATACGTATTTTCTCATCTGACCTTCACAGTAGCCCTGAAGCTGCCTCCAGGCAAAGGTGCATCTTTATGTGTTGCGCAGGAAGGGGTGGTGAGCTGCATGGGCTCTGGGTTGGACGGACCTGGGTTCTAATCCTGGCTCAGCCTCTTATCTGCTCTGGAACTCCGAGAGTGGTTTTTCACTTCTCCCAGCTTTGGGGTCTGATCTATGAATTAGAGATGTGATATCACCTACTTCATGGGGTCGTTGTACAAGGGGTGTATGGGGGTAAGTGCTTAGCATTGAGCCTAAGGGAATGTTAGCAATTAGGGTTAATTATATATTCACTTTACAGATTTGCAGACTGGGAAATGGAAGCTCAAAGGGGTCAAGTAGCTTGTTCAGGGTCACACAGGTGGTTAAGTGCTGGAGATGAGGTTTGAACCTTGGTTTGTTGGACTTCAGAGCCAAACCTCATTGCTTCTTGGACTGGGTGTCAGGACATCTGGATTCCAGCTTCAGTAGCCCATGGGGTGACCTGAGACAAGTCCCTTCCTATTTTCAGGCCTCAGAGTAAAGTGAGGGGGCTGGACCAGGGGGTCTCTAAGACCTGTGAATCCATGTAGATGACACCCACACAAACTACCCTTGCAAATACTCAAGTAGGTTGGTGTTTTGTTTTGTTTTGTCTTTTAAGAATGAAAGGTGCTATCTAACTGGGAGGTCTCTGGATGAATGTAGACTAGAGAGCTGGGGGTAGCTGCAGAAGAGATCAGCTCAATATGCTGGAAGAACCGACAGAGCACTGGTATTGGCCATGGGACAGAGATGGGGCCAACTCCTACCTCCTGCTGCCACAAGAAGGACAGTCTGTCCTGAGCATCTTATTAATTCATATTCACCCATCCACTGCCCATATATTCATCCACTCATCCATCCATCTACCCATCCATCACCCACCCATCCATCCATCTGTCTCCCTACCTACTCCTCATCTCATTGATTATATATCTATGCATCTATTCACCAATTAATTCACTTACCTCACCCACCCAACCAGTACTTCCCAAGAGCTATGCCTGAGGGAACAGAGATGACTCAAGTGTGTTTCTCCCTCTCAAAGAGCCCACGTTGTCAGACAATAAGAAGACATGGGAGAGTCAGTGGTCTCATGGAGGAGGAAATACAGCCCTGTCCAAGGTCTGATTTTCCTAGGCCGGACTCATTTCCTGATCAAAGCTGATGGACAGGGCTTGTGGGGAGGACACTGCCTGCATTTACCTGCCTTGTGTGCTTTAGGAAGTCCTACGGTCTAGATTTCCTAGCTTGGCTTGGAGGGTGGCTGGACTTCTACTCTGGACTAAGCAGCCCCTGACTCTTCTCAGGAGTCCTCTGGGCCTGGAAGGACAGTCCCTCAGAGGCCCTTTGCCCTATATGGCTGGCAGGCCCTGGCTGTGAATCTGACTCTCTGGACCCCAGGCCTTCCTTCCTGAGACCACCTTATGCTAAAGACGCTGTAGGACTGGTTTCAGTGACCAAAAGCCCGGTCTGGACACCCTACTCAACAGCTGGCTTTGGAGTATCTATAAGTTGGCTTTGCCACTAGTTGGCTGTGTGGCTTTGGGTAAGACCCTTTTCCTCTATAGCCCTCATGCTTCTGCGATTTATTGTTAGCCTCAGCATTGCTACAGACAGAATCCCCTTACAAAGGGGGATTTTACTGCTGAATAATGACAACACTAACCATACACAGTGCTGAATACGAGCCAGGCATTCCTCACTTACTAACTTGTTTCATCCTCACAATAATCCTATCATTTTCTCAGGAGGCTGAGGCACAGAGAGGCTAAGTAACTTGTTTGAATTCATGTAGCTAGAGAAGGACTTGAACCCAGGCTGCCTGGCTCCAAAGGATGAGCTTTAACAACTACCTTGTCATACCAGGGACCTCTGCTATCCCTTCTGTACCGATGACCATCAGCCCCCACCAAGGAGAGCCACGTGGCCAGGGGGCTTTCAGGAAAGATCCAGAAAGAAGAGGCACAGGAGTCCTGGGATGCTAGGGTTCCAGGCACCATCAGGGGACACTGGCGCCCGAGAGGTAAGTGTCTTAGCCTGATTACAAACCAAGGATCCCAATTCCTGGGTCCCTGACCTTTCTCCAGTCTCAGCAGCTAAACCTCCCCAGGTAGACTGACTGACCCCTGTCCTTCAAGCCACGTGGAACCAACCAACATCTGGAAATGAGATTTTAGCTTTGCTGCCAGTGCTACGCAACAGTGCCTAACTGAGATGGCCCCTTGGCCCTCCAGGCAGACCCCAGAACTGCTTTTTTACTGTGGTTATATAAGTTACATCTCAATCCAAGCCCACCCCATAGGGCTGTGCCCCCGCGGCCGCCCCATCACCCAAATCCTGCTCTGGGAATTGCCCTGATCCCCCTCTCTCCCACATCTGCAGGACAAGATCATTAACAGCATCCCCGTTATTTTAGGAAGGCCTGGGGAACAGAATAAAACATTGCTGATCTCCCTTGATTCCCAAATTGGGCAGGGGTGGGGGTGAGGTGGGAAGACAAAACACCGTCATTTCTGGCATCACCCCCGCCCCCCTGGGTTCTGGATCACCCCTGTGCCCACATCCTCCCGACCTACTTTCCCTCTCCTCTGTGGGCCTCCCGTAGCCTGTAGCTCTGGGGTGATGCAGGGGGCTGCTCGGCCCTGGATAGTGCAGATCTTACAGCCCCAGTGTCTGGGGGCAGAAGCTGCCTTCTCCCCCTTCTCCCACCAGCCCTCAGCCCCTAGCTGCTGAGTCACACTCTCCTCCCCATTTGGATAAAGCTGCCGGCGGTGCCCACAGCCCAGCCTGACCATGATGCTGTGAGCTGGCTCCCGGGCGGAAGGGAGAGGTCAGGGCTAGGGCGCACTTGGGAGGTAAGCAAAAAAGCCCAGCCGCTCACCCAGATGCTCCCACTACAGAAATGTCCTACATCTGGCTGCTGACTGACCTCTGGATGGACAATTCCTTGTTTCTCTTCATCCAAATGTTGGTTAATTACAAAAAGGCCTTCTCTGCTTCTAAACCAAAAAGGGATTACAGCATGATGAGTCTATGCAGCTAAGCTGAGATAGGAATGTGAGGATTTTTCTTTTTTCTTTTTTTTTTTTTAAGATTTTATTTATTTATTCATGAGAGACAGAGGGAGAGAGAGAGGGAGAGAGAGAGAGAGAGAAGCAGAGGGAGAAGCAGGCTCCCAAGGAGCAGGGAGCCCGATGCGGGACTCGATCCCAGGACCCTGGGATCACGACCTGAGCCGAAGGCAGACGCTTAACCATCTGAGCCACCCAGGTGCCCCCGAGAATTTTTCTTATCAGAACTCGTGATACTGCTACTATTACTAACAACAACAACGTCATCGGGTGGTAGATCCTTTCTGAAAATGGCCACCATTTGTTCCCTCTCTGAATCCAGGCCCTTTGCAATGTGATCTTGCAGTTCCTCCCGTCAAGAGATAGAGTCTAGCTCCCCATTCCTTGAATCTGCACAGGCCTCTTGGCTTGCGTTGACCAATAAGATGCAGCAAGATGACAATGTGAACAAGCCCAAACTAGCCTGCTGGAAAAGCTGGGACCACACAGAGCCAAAACAAACCATCCCAGCTGAGGCCATCCCAGACCAGCCTCTGGTGCTGCTGAGATCAGCGGAGCTGTCCCCCTGAACCACCACAGACACAGATGCGAGAGGGAGTCCCACTGAGAGCAGAAGAGCCACCACGTTGAGCCCAGCCCGAATGGCCACCCCACAGAATTGTAAATACACAGTTTGGTTTTGAGCCCCTAAGTTTTGGAGTACAGTAGTCCCTGCTTATTCTCGGGAGATATGTTCCAAGACCCCCAGGGGATGCCCAAAGCTGTGGAGCATACCAAACCCCATGTATGCTATGTTTTTTTCCTAGACACGCATATCCGTGATAAAGTTTAATTTATAAACTAGGCACAGTAAGAGATTAACAACTGATTAATAACTGATAATAAAATAGAACAATTATTGCAATATACTGTAGTAAAAGTTATGTGAATGTGGTTACTCTCTAAGTGTCTTATTGTACTGTCCTCACCCTTCTTCTCATGCCGATGTGAGATGATAAGATGCCTACGTGATGAGATGAAGGGGAATGATACAGTGCGTGCCACAGCACTAGGCTGCCCTCGACCTTCTGACGGTATGTCAGAGGGAGGGTCAGCAGCTACGGGACGGAGGTTGACTGCACGTAACTGAAAGTGCAGATAAGGGGGACTATGGTAGTTAGTTATGGACCAAAAGCCAACTAATAAAAAGTGCTTTGTTTTGTTTTGTTTTGTTTTCATAAGGGGAACAATGACAGGATCTAAGAAACACAATTAAGACTTTTTTTTGGTCATATAAACATCATTGCTAAATCAAAAAGCAAGAAGTTGCTTACTATACGACCACCCCAAAATACATCAGCAGGATTCAAAAACAGGAATCACATCGCTCACTCTGCCTGGTACCTGCGAGTCACCCCGCGGACCTCGCTCCCTCCAGCAGAGGCCGCGCCACTTACCAGAATCTTGGTGGTGTAGGCGCTGTTGATGGCAATGGCGTTGACGAGCAGCTCCATGGTCTTGGCATTAATGGAGCTCGGATCAGGGATCTCCTTGTAGTGGACGTCGCCAACGTAGGCCTGCACGACTGTCATGCGATTGGTGGTCAGTGTGCCTGTCTTGTCTGAGCAGATGGCGGTGGCATTGCCCATGGTCTCACAGGCATCCAGGTGACGGACCAGGTTGTTGTCTTTCATCATTTTCTGGGGGCAGAGGCAGGTGAGAGGGTGACAGTGAGGAGAGGGAGTCGGGGGGGGCCAGGAGGCGGGGTGGGGGCGCTGGGGAAGCACGCAGAGAATGGGGCAGAGCTTCTGCAGTCTGCCCCTTGTTTTTCTGCATGTGCAAAGGGCATGGGTGGCCGTGGCCTCGGACATTGGGGCTCAATGTGTATGTAGGTTTTTCCTTCGCTTTCCTTATTTGAACCACTTAAAAGATTTGATTAATTGACTTTATTAATTTGGAATACAGAAGTAATCTGTATTCCTTATGGAAAAAATTGGGAAAAGGGTGATAAATTAATGTTGAGTCCTTTATAATGACCTCAAATATTTTTCTCTTACAACCCAACAGAAGTAACCATCCTTTATTTGGTTAAGCGTTTTTTTTTTTTTTTCCCCCCAAATCTTTTGCTGGTGCCTGGTTTTCATTGTCATTTTTGGTTCCACCAAAAAGAAATAAATTTAGGATAGATATATATGTGTTTATAGACATAGGGCAGTATCTGGAAAAATGTCAAAATATTAGTGTTATTATTTCTGGGTGGTAGAATTACAGGGGATTTTTATTGCCTTCTTTTAAAAAAAATCTACAGATTCGATTTTTCCTGCATTGAATACATATTATACCTCATGTAATAAAAATCACAAATTTCTTTTCAATATACACAAAAAAGAAAACAAATCCACCATAATGCCATCACCCAGAATGGATACAGCTTATGTATTGACATCTTTTCTTTCTAAATTTATAACAAGAATGAAATCCTACCATACATATCATTATGAATTTTCTGGCATTCGCCCTCCTCTCTGTCTTTCCAGCTCCACTCCTAGCTTCTTCGAGGTTCTCAAGCAACTCAGCAAATGAAGTAATTCTCAAGGAACTGCCACTCTGAAGGCAGGCCCTGCTCACACAATGACCCCATCTGGCAAGGAGGGACATGAAAAGTTGCTAGAGGCTGAGTCAGACATGGTTCTAGTCTGTTCCTGAGAATCTGATTTCCTTTATTCTTGCTCATCATAACTCTTTATAAAAAGGGTGAAAAAAGTGCAATTAGAATAATTTTAATAGCAGTTCATGTCACTAAGGAATGACTATTGGTAGAATTATATGCTATTGCAGTCTTCTCTTATTATAACCTGTGATAAGAGTAACACTTCATGTATATTGAATGGATGAGCAATAGCAACACACTTTATGGTTTGCAAAGTTCTTCCACGCTTATTTTCTTGTCTGATGTTACAAGAGGCCTGTGAAACCTTTGAGGATTGTGGTCCTCCATGCTGGCAAATGGAAAAGCCATGGCCAAGTGATTTGACCAGGATCACACACCTAATGAGGGTTAAAGCTGAGACTGGAGCCCGGCTCTGTATAACTTCACAGCCTGGATCATTCCATCGGGCCCCTGCCCATCTGTACTCTTGGAAGATAGTTCAAGTGTTGGGCTTAAGAATATACAGGTGGCTACTGAGCACTGGAAATGTGGCTGGTCTGACGTGAAATGTGCTGTACGTGTAAAAATTTGTGTTGGGATTTGAAGACTTATTATGAAAAAAGCAACGTAAGATATCTCACTAGTGATTTGTATATTGATTACATGTTGGATTGCTAATAATTTGGACATAATAGGTAAAGTAAATTATATTACTAAAATTAATCTCACTTGTTTCTTTTTACTTTTTTTTTTTTAACATGACTATGAAGAAATTTAAAATCACACATATGGCTCACATTGTGTCTCTGAGTGTCATCTCTGTTCTTTTGATGGTGGCTCATGGGGTGGGTATGCCAGGCTCAGAGAGAGGAGAGTTTGCCTCTCCTGGGTTGGGGCTGTACCCAGTTTTTCAAGTGACTATATAAGTAACACGACCTAAGACAGCTGAAGGCACCAGGTGCCAGAGATGCGAACTGCAGAAGGTGCAGAGGCCTAAAAACGTCTGTGCATGATCCCCCCCCCCAACTACCTCTGTGTGACTTTCAAGACACCCCAAGCTCGGCCGGGTGGCTGTGGGGGTCCCCACTCCTGGCTGTATGAGAATCTCCAACTCTGGGCCCCAGGCCCCCAAGCAGCATCGTGTTGTGACCTGTTTGGGCTTTGGTTTGTGGGATGGAGTTTCTTCAAGAACCCTAAAACAAGGAGACGATAAGGGCCGTATCTTTTACCTAGAGCTGCCACTTTCTGGCACCTGCCTGGAGATCTCTTTTCTGTATGAAATTACATCGGCGAGCCCAGTCCAAATTCCAGCTTGGAAACTGATGCCCGCCATGCCCTCCGGCAGCTCTGCCAATGTCTCGGAGCCAACGCCTTGTTTATAAACATGCTCAGGCCTCCATCCTCGTAGGCACGTCCTGGCACTGGGGCCCCGGGGACCAGGAGTGCAGAGCCCTGCCCTCCGAGGTGGGAAAACCATGGGGGCCAAGGGAAGAGAATGAGGCTGTGATGTGAGCCAAGCTTGAAGCGCCCATTTGAGATGCTCAGCCCAGTGTTCGGGCTCCATGCATAGCCATGGCCTGGGAGCAGGGGGCGGTGGGGTTCTGCCATCCGGGGAGCACTAGAAAAACACTCCCTGCCCCCAGCCAGACCCAAGTGTCCACAGTCAACTTTCATGGGCTTACCACCTTTCATTAAGCTGCTTTTAAAACCTCTTCCATTTTCAGCCCATTCCCGGAGAGGGGGGGGCTTCCTTAAATAAGATCTCTTTTGGCTTTAGGCTCATCTCTTCCCAACTTTAGGGAACAACCTCTGAGGTGAGTTGCTGAAGTATCACAGCTTCCATGGGGCTTTGACCACAGACTTTTCCTTACATTTGGTGGGATGGGGATGAGTTTGGGCCTGCATGGTGAGGTCTGCTTTTTATGTTTTTTTTTTTCTTAATTTTTTTTATGTGGAGTTGATGATCAATGTTTAAAAATCAAGAGAGTTATATATTAAGTCCAGGCTTCTGGCTTCTCTGGGAAAAATGTGAAGAGTTGGCAATGTGTGTGTGGGGGTGCATCTGCAAGGCAACACTTAGCTGGGGTGAATCATGGTTGTTCCTGTAGCCAAGATGTGGCCCTCCAGGCTGCCACAGGCCCTGGACTCCCTGAGGGCGTGTGAGCTCCGGCTTCTGGCACAGGTCTCCTCTCCCAGCTTCTGAGGTGCCCCCTTCCTTCTTCATAGCTCTACTGCTGGCCCCAGCGCTTGCCCCACGGGCCACCCCCCAGAGCCCCTGCTGGGGGCAGCCAATCCCAGCTGCACTGTCCGGTCCTCTCCTTCTCACCTTCACCGAGTAGGCCAGTGAGATGGTGACGGCCAGAGGGAGCCCCTCCGGCACAGCGACCACCAGCACTGTCACGCCAATGATGAAGAACTTGACAAAGTACTGCACGTAGACGGGCGTGCACTCAGGTAGCCATGGCTTCTTGTTGACCACGAAGGTGTCCACGGTGAAGTAGAGCACCAGGATGATGACCGTGATGGCTGACATCACCAGACCTGTAACACGGGTCGGGGGGAGACCATCTCAGGGGCTCTCCTGGGGGTGGGGGCCCTGGGAAGTGAGATGGAGACCAGATACTTGGCCAGGCAGATTCTAACCCACATCTCAGCTCTGCCACTTACTAGCTTTGTGGCCTGGGGCACGCCCTTGATCCTCACAGAGCCTCAGTCTCCTCCTCTGTGTAATGGGGATGCCCGCTTATTTCATGTGGTTTTGCAAGGATCAAATGTGATGAACGCATGTAAAGCGCCTGACACGGTGCCCGACACCTTGTGGGTGCTCAGGAAATGTGTGCCGAGGCCACGGGAATTATTTTGAACTGCCTGCCTAGTTCTTGCACACAATCACGTGCAGCCAGTACCATTTATCGACTTGTCCACCCAGGCACCTCATAGCTCCTAATCCAGGAGTGAGGGACACAGCACTAGGGAGGACAGAGTCCCTGCCCTTGGGAAGCTGAGACTCCAGAGGGGGAGGCAGACAAGAAGCAACACGCTCATGAACAAGACCATCCCTGTAGAGATAATGCCGTGTAGAAAAACTGTAGGACGACATGACAGAGAGTGACATGGGCTGAAGGTAAGAAAACAACCCACGTCCATCGACAAACAAATGGGTAAAGACGGCGTGCTGTAGACACACAGTGGAGTATGACTCAGCCTTAAAAAAGAAGGAAGTCCTGCCATTTGCGACCACATGGATGGGCCTGGAGGACATTATATATATATATAAATAGTCAAACTCATAGAAGCAGAGAGTAGAAGGGTGGTTGCCAGGGGCTGTGGGGAGGGGGAGGGGGGTTGTTTTTCAGTCGGTATAGAGTTTCAGTTATGCAAGATAAAGAAGTTCTAGGGCTCTGCTCTACACTACGGGGCCTACAGTGAACAACAGAGTATTGTGCGCTTCAAAATTGGTTAAGAGGCTGGATCTACCTCTTAAGTGTTCTGAGCCCCCAAAACGGAAAACAGAAAAACCCAGGAAAGAACACAGGAATTTTTGGAGGTGGGGGTATGTTTTGTACCTTGCTTGTGGTGATGGTATCACAGGTGTACGCATATGTCCAAATTTATCAAGATGTACACTAAATGTGTGTAATTTTTTGTATATTAATTGTACCTCAATAAAACTTCAAAAAAGAAAATAGAAAAACACGGCCTGGTGGACAGAGACTACTTTAGCTAGGCTGTCCAGGGAAGATTTCCTGGATAGGGAATGATGAGAAGGATCAGCCAGATGGTGACCTGAAGAAAGAGCGTTCCGGAAAGAGGAAAGAGCAGGGGGCCCTTTTTTGGATGAGGACATTGGGGTCAGTGAGGGGAAGGGACTTGTCCAAGGCCACAGGCCAGAGAAGCTCTGCAGAGTTCGCAGATGCAGGTGCCTACCCACTCGGATCCCCGGGGACCCCCTCGCCCGTTCGGGGTGCTGCAGGCTCTGTGCAGGTGCCGCGGAGGCTGTGCACGCCTGCACCCTCTGCCAGAGGAAGTCCACGCTTCAGAGAGCACTGTCTCCTGGTCAGGAAGTACCTGGGATGGAACCCCACCCCAATGTGATGGCCAATATTCAATGGCTGAGGTGGAGGGGGGGTCCAATAGTGCAGTCCCCTTGCTGCGAGGCCAGACAGACCCTGCAGAGGTAGGTAGAGACGGGAATTCCTCCAGGAAGTATCTGGCTTTTTCCCTGGCCCCTTTGAGTCTCTTACCCTTTATAGGTCTCACCTGAGAGCACCCTAGCCCCTAAAAATCCTGCGTCCACCCATTTCAGGCTCTGCTTCAGGGAATTCAGCCCAAGAGAGGAGCAGAGGTGGGATGTGAACCTAGAAGTGTTTGACCCTGAACTCCATTCTTGGCAAGGCTGAGGAGGGGGAGGGGGGTGAGCAAGAGCTTTGAAGGCCACGGGTTGTTCTCATCACTCCGTTCCCTGCCCCCCAGTGCCTGTGCTGTGGTTCTGTGGAGTCTTCTCCATGCTGGGGATGGAGGAAATCCCTGGTTCCGTCGCTCCCCCGCCCCCACCTCCAGCTGTGGGACTTCAGAGCCGGCTCTATCCCCATCTGACAGTCGCAGGGGCGGGAAGCCAAGCTCTCAGCAGCCGGGAGCTATCACCAGGCCCCGAGTTTAAATATAGACAGCCAAGCCTGTAATTTGCCTCCCTTCTCCACGCTGTGGTGCCTATAATTAGAGCCGGGAGACAGCCAGGTGGGGAGGCCTTGGTGTTTGCGTGTCCTCATGCGGGAGGAGAGGCCAAGGCCATGTCAGCCGGGCAGGGCTCGCCTTGCAGCTGGGCTCAGCTTCCTGGGCCGGAGGGGCCGCCGCCAGCCATCACCTGGAGCTCCCAGCTCGGTGGGGAATCGGGACTTGTGCTGAGGCTCAGAAAGGAGGCTTCTCACTGGGCTCCTGGCACTGCCCTCAACCTCTTCAATCTTTCCTCTGCATTGCAGCGGGGGCAGGGGGGGTCAGTCTAGAGCCCCAATCCATCCCTGCCCTCCCCTGCTCCAACCTACTACTGGAGCGCCGATTGTGTAAGGACTCGGGCTGGTTGCTGGGGTAGAAAAGAGTGGGTCTCAGGGACCATCTCATGCCAGCCCCCACTCTGCAGATGAGGCAACTGAGAGCCAGCTTGGGGTCAGAGCCCTGGCTGGGGTCCCTCTGTGTACCCCACGTCCCCCCTTGTACCATCCACCTGTGGCTGCATGCTTACCTGCCTTGCCGATCTGCACAGCCAGCTTGGTGAGCTTGCCCTGCAGCACGGATTTCTCCTTCTTGTGCATGTTGGCCTTTTTTTTGTCATCAGCGTCGCCACCCTCGGCACTCTTGAGGGGCTGCATCTCCATGGCGGCTGCCCCGTCCTGCTGTTTGGCTGCAGGGGGCAGAGCACGCACATGCATGCACACACGCACACGCACGCACACGCACACACACAGACATGCACGCACCCAGGTCAGCCTGCAGGGTGGGGATATTGGCACCCACCCTGCCTGCCCAGCGGAGTGTGGTGAGATATTCACTCCCTCGTCTGGCCCCCTGCATGGCTGGCACAGACATCCTGTGATACGGGGTCTGCCTCTTCCAGCTGGAGACCCTGGTCCCGGGGCCCGTAGCTGCCTCGGACCTGGAATCCAAGTGTGAACAGGGAGTGACACAGTTCCACCTTGGATTCCCAGTAGGAGTAGGCTGGGGTCCCCGCTGGGCCTGAACAAGCCCACAGATCCTTCCCCAAATGGCCCCTCAGCTTTTCCCACATTTAGACAAGACAGATAGGCTTGGGCATCCCCAGTTGGTTCTTGAGTGTGTTGGTGGGATATTAAGCAGCTGCTAGACAGGAGGAACAAAAAAGGGGGCTTAAAAGATAAAAGAGAGTGTCCTTATCCATGGGTGCCAAGCCCCCTCCTCCTTCAGTGAAGGACTGACTGGTGGGTCTGGGGCCTTACCCTTTAGCCCCTAAGGATCCCAAAGAACCAGCTTCAAGTCTTCAGCTAAATGGGCAGCATAGCTCCAAGGCTGGGGAAGAGCCGGCTCACAGGTGGCCCCTGTCCTCACCGGTGATGTCTCCATTGGGCCTGGCAACCACGTGAATCACAGCCCACGTGAATCACAGCCCCCCCCACCCCCTCCATTGGGCCTGGCAACACGTGAATCACAGCCCCCCCTCAAAGATGTCAGGCACCTGCAGGTGCGGACCTGTCTGCTTCTAGCCTGGCTCTCAGAGCCAGTGGGGGAGGGGCTGCAGGGACCACAGAAGCCGGCGAATACAAAAGGGTTACCTTTGCTCTGGCTGGCGTCCACATTGCCATCCTGCATTTTACCTACACGACAAAGAATTTTAACAGACAACAGAGAACAGACAATACACGTCGATCATCACAAAGACGCAACAGGGCCAAGGACACTCATGTCACAGATGGAGGAAGGGCCGAGCCGACTCCGTCCCTCCACATGGGGGCGCTGGGGAGGCCCTGAGACAAGAGCAAACCCGGCCACCGCACTGGCTGCAGGCTCTGTCCTGATTCTCTGGGGGCTTGGAGAGAGAGCTTCAGTGGGAATTATTTCAGCCCTGAGGATACTGATTAAATGACAGCCTCTGAGGGTAAAAGGGACCAGAGTCGGCTGGCAGAAAGCAGAGGGGTCCTCAGGTCCCCAGTGATTAATTTGGTCGGTGCCTTTGGTGGGCTGAGAGGAGGCAAAGGAAATGAAAGAGACAGACAGACAGAGAGAGAGATTCTAGAAAGGGGAGGACTTTGGTCAATGTGTTCCTTAGTTTCTGGCTCCAGGAGTGACATATGTAGAATTTTACTTTCTCCTTTTCCATCTGGAGGAGCGTGAAGCCGCAGCAAGGACGACCTCCTGCCCAGCTCCATTGAGAGTGACCCATGCCAAGGGTGAGCAAGGGCTCCCTAGTGGTGGGCTTTGAGGTGCCCCAAGCATGTTCAGGGGGCTTGGGGGGAGTGTCCTGGCTCTCAGGGGGAAGCTGCTGACCCCTCCTCTCTACTTGGGTATATGTTCTTTATTCTGAGGTTGAGCAGCCCGGGCCCTAGTAGAGAGGGAAGTCAGGCCAGTGGGCTCCCCTGGGTGGCCCCCTGTCCCGGCCCTGCATGCCAGTGCTGGGGAAAGGGCTGAGCCTGGGGCTGCTCACCTCCTAATCAGCGCTGCCTGGGAGGCCCCCTCCACAGTCTCGGCCAGAGGCTTGTGGGCTGGGTTTGCAGCGTGGGAGGTACTGGTTGTCACTAGCTGGCAGTTGAGACACCTGCCTTTCCCTGCTGGCACTGCAGAGAGGGGGTTTCCTCCTGTCCCCTTGGCCTGTTCTCTGAGCTCGCTCAGAGCTCTTCCCATGGGCCTGGCGCCACCTTGGGAGGAGTCTGAGGAGGTCAGCCACCCTTGGCCATTGGCTGTGAAGGGGATTCTCATAGCTCATGTTCTGTGAGACCCCACCACGTGCCAGGCGCATATAGAACCTCCATGAGTTCATCTAATCCACACCACATCCCTGCAAGGGCACTCCTGTACTGCACCCACTTACAGATGAGAAACTGAGGCTCAGAGAGGCAGACGGCCTGCCCGGGTCCCAGCGGGTTAACGGAGAGCTGGCCCCAAAGTGCATCTATGTTTCCACCGCAGTTGGGAAGAAGACAGCTATCCCTCAGCCCCTCTGAGCCCAGAGGAGGGGCATTAAGGCGACCCCGGTGGGACTGGACTCCTGAAGCCCCTGTTTTGACACCAGCTAGCTGTGTGGCTTTACCGCTCCCAGTCTCAGCTTCCACCTCTGTAAAATAGGGATGCAATATTCAGCTTCCGGGGCACCTGCGGGTTGCCTTAGCAATAATCACTTGCCCGTTTAGCATTTTGCAGTTTGCGAGTGTCATCTCCTGCCCGTCTTCCCGACACCCTGCGGGTGGGATGGGGGGGATTCTCATCACTCTCGTTTTACAGACGAGGAAACTGAGACCACGGGAGTTTCCGAGGCAGCTCTCCTTTCTGGAGCAGCCCGATGATCAGCCTGCGACTGCCATCACCGTCACCACACCACTCTGTAGGTGACTCGGAAGGTCCCGGCCCTGCGCTGTCTCTCCAGGGGAAATGCTGGGCTGTTCCCGCTGCCTCTCACAGCCAAGGGTCAGTGACCCCCTTGGGCGGATGGAAAGAGAGGGGCCCCCGTCGCTTTATTGCAAAGTTCTTTTTGCTGGATTAAAAACAAAACAGAAAAAGTCTTTTTAGAGCCAACAGGAATGAACTACAACAATTATCTTTATTTTTAAAAAATAATTTTACTAACTGGGCTAAAGGACACGGGAGGACTCCTCTTCGATACTTGGTTTTAGAAGACACAAAGGGGCCTTATTTGCATTGCATATTATCAGATGCAATAGCCCATGTGTGCGCCCATTAACCAAGCTAGCAATTTCCTCTTTTATTTCCATAGTGATCACGTGGCCAGAAAAATAATCACCAATGCATATGTTCGAGGGAGGGAGCGGCGTTGTGGGGGTACTTCTGTGCAGATGGCCTGGTTTCTCAGAAGCAAGGGACTGATCTGGATTTTTTCTCAGCCAAAGTGGAGCTCGCCTGGCCCCGGAACTATGGTGGGACAGCCAGATCTGGCTCCATGCATGACCGGGAGTGGGGGCTATTTCAGGGGAGCTGGGATGGGGAGCTCGGGTGGAGACTCGGAAGCTGCCAGATGCAGCTTCGACAAATGGGTCTATTCTCTGCATGCATCGCCAGGACCATCGGTGTGAAAAGCGCGTGTGTGGAGGATTCATGGTGAGGTGACCTGGGATAAACAAGCTGTGGGGAGACGGAACACTAACTAGGTGAACTGGGAGATGTTACTTCTCTTGCCTGTGCCTCCGTTTCTTCCCCTGTGACAGGTGACAATTTCAACCAAGGTGATGCTTATGAAAAGCACCACAAAGTGCCCTGCTAATGTCTGGAGTTCAGAGTGATGTATTTACTAATCGTGATTACAAGCAATGTATTAAACAGTGATATGTTAATAAATGTAAAAAATAATAAAATGATAATGGCAATCATAATGCCTCCAAGGTGAATGGAACACACCCACTTTCAGTTGGGAGGGGGTCTGGGGGGTGGAATCAGAGAGACTTCTACCAGCTGAGTGTGTTTTCTATATCCACATCATCCTGATTTGGCTCAGAGGAAGGAGGGAAAGGAATGGTTAATTCTGTCATTGCCCAGGGCTCAGCCTGGCACCTCTCAACCTTTAATGTACTCTGACCTGGAGCCTGGAGAGCTTACTAGACGAGATTGGGCGTGTTCAGGGTGTTATGGCCATAGACTGGAGAGCTTACTAGAACGCAGATTCTTGTTCAGTGGGTCTGGGGTGGGGTCTGAGATTCTGCATTTCTAACAGGCCCCTAGGAGATGTCCCGCCTTCTGGTCCTCTGATTACATTTTGAGCAGCAATGGCTTAGAGCACTATTCCCTCAGTATATTACAGAGACATACCAATCCCAAAGATTCAGCCAGGAAAGGTCCTGCAGCCAAATCAGCCTGGGAAGCCCTCCGTGGCGAACTTTCCACTATATACCAGCATATTCAAGGTTCTGAGAAGTTCTGCAATAAGGAAGAGACCAATTCTGTCCCACGGTTCTTAAACATCTCTGACCACAGGATCCTTTTCTTGGGGGCAGGACCTATTAATATTCCTGTGAAGTTTGCAAGACACACTCCTTTGGGGAACCCTGGATCAGGAAGTGGAGTATGCACTTTAGAGCCAGCGGGCCTGGGTTCAAATCCCAGCTCTGCTACTTTTCTCCTTCTGTGACCTTGGGCTAGTGTCTTGATATCTCCAAGCCTCAGTCTCCCCATCTTTAAAGTGGGGACAGTAAACTCTGTATCGCAGGGCTGTCATGAGGATCAAATGAGGCCGTGAGCAGGAAATGTTTGTAAAGTGGCTGGCATACAGTAGGTGGTCAAGTTTCCCATTTTTCCTGCAGTTTTTCTCAGGATGCTAGTAGTTTTCTGCTACAGTTTGGAAGTGAAGCTGCCTTTTTTTGGGACCGACCAGCCTGGATGCAGTCTGTGTGTTCATCGAGCCCAGTGGGCTCACTGCTGTGGGGGAAGCAGAAGCCGGCTCCTGTTTCCTTCTCCTGCTGCCTGGGTTTGCCTATATTGGTTCTCCCTGTCATCCCTCACCACCCCTCCCTGATGCATGACACCTCCCACACCCCAAGCTGTTCTCCTTTCTCCTCCAGAGCCTGAAATAGACCCACACCCAAATTAGCAAGGCGCAGCTCACAGAAGTGTCTTGCCTGGCCCCTGACATCTATGAGGTGCTTCCATCATTGGTCGCTTTGAATGCAGGTGGCTCAGCCAGAGGTCTGGGGCAGGGGATGGGAGAATGGGGTAGGGCAAGATCTTCACGTCTTCCAGGAGTGGTGAGGAGGAAATGATATAATGGGTGAGAAAGCCACAGCCCGGTGCCTTCTATGCAGCGATGCTGCAAGGAAGGCTTTTCCCTTCCTTCGATCCCCCGGGGCAACGGTTTTATGATCAAGCCCTACAGCTCTCAGCCTGGGTGACTATCATGCTACCTAATATGGGGATAGGGGACCTATCTGAGTACACAGAAGCCTCGTCACTCTGAAGATGGGAGGGCATAGGAATAAGAAATCCTCTAAAGGTTTAGAGACAAGTGAATGGAATTCCTTCTTGCCTGTGGGTAAGGAGGTTAAAACGCAGATAACAGGTACCGTGGCAGCCCCCCACCGCCACCCCTCACCCCGTAAGGGGGCCCGTAAGAATGCAGAGACTCAGGACAAATGCTCCAGCACAGGCAACAGCAGGAAACACCAGTCCACGTCTGAGGGACAGAACCAGGCCCGAGCCCAAGCGAGCCCCCTGCCCGTTCACTCCGAGAAAGAGAAGAGGAAGAAATGTTTATCAGTGGCTCAGCCATGCTATGGGGTGAGGCCAAAGAGCTGAACCCTGGCCTGGGTCCCCCTGCCTCGAGGAAATTTTCGAGTTGAGGACTGGAGCCTTCAGCAGGGACCCAGACACCAGCTTCAGCCCAGGTTCTGACCCCAGGACTTCTTCCCCAAGCTGGGGCCAGGAGTGTGCTTAGGAGAGGGCCACGTCGGGTGGGATGCTGCTTCTTGGGAGCCAAATCTGAAGCCCAGGGTATGTCCCTCTTCTGGGCCCCACTGGGGGTCAAGGGCCCCACAGGAGCCAGTGCTACTTCGGCAGCCGCAAGTGGGCGCGGAGCGGATTTCCCGGTGGTGGCTTCTCTCTTAAGCGCCTGCCCCACGTGGGAGGACGATTGTCCCAGAGCTGCCCATGCACATCCAAGATCTGTGCGGTCCAGAACAGGGAGAGGCAAGCCCAGAGTTGGGGGTGGGGGAGAGAGACGCCCATCCAACCGAGACCGAGAGCTCGCCATCGGAGACGTACCATTGACTAGGCTGGTATTTGCACTATCTGCAGCATTTGAACCTGCTGCCCCATCGGCCGCTGTGGGGGTGGGAGGGATGGAAAATGCAGTGTGTCACAATGGAGAAAAGCAACAATGCAGAACAGCAACAACAATAAGGACATGAACCAACTTGTGGGAAATAACATGACTATATTCTTAAAAAAATAAAATCTCCGTTGGAAATCAAGAAACTCAAATTTGGGAGGGGGGTGGGGGTGAAATGTTCCCATAGAGATTCAATAAAAACCAGGGAAAAAAACTCAGACATGGAGGGTCTTTGAAATAAAGCATGGCAGATGATCAATGTGGTTAGGGTAGGGTGGCACTGTTCTGTGCCAAGGTCTGGACTGATGCACCCCTCCGGCCACGCCAATCAGGCAGGTCCCCATCAGAGAAACTTCTCTGAGAGGGCATCTGGCTGCCCGTCAGGGCCAGAGGGACGCATGGCCAGGACTCATTTCAAAACATTCAACAACCGGCGCAGTGAGGCACCTGCCATTCTGATCGGCTACTTGCTGTGACCACCACCACTGCATCCCAGAGGGACATCCAGCGGTGGTGGTGACTCAGGATTCGAGCCCTTGACTCAGGCCACTGCCCACGGCCACCTCCTCCTTCCTAACCAGCACTCTATAGATCGCCTGGGTCACCCCCATACGAGATGCCCCGTCATTGAATAGGTGACATCCAGCATGTCGCACTTTGTGTGTGGGACAGAGAAGGTACTGGCAGGTTTTCCTTAGTTTAGCAATTAAAAATGACATAAGGTGGTCAGATGCACTCTGGTTGTTCTTTCTTGGGGTGGGGGCAGATGGGTTGTGCGGGAAGGAGAGGGAAGAGACACTAGTGGGTGAGGTGTCCATGCTGTGCGGTGAGGGTGGCGGGGACGGGCTCTGTGGGGTGTGCGCCGGAGAGCAGGGCTGTGGGGGTCACGTGGTGGCGAGCAGGGCACTGCACGCCGGTGTGGGGGGCGGAGGGCTGTGTGGGGTCGGTGTGGAGACGGCGGTGGTGGTGCCACGTGCATCGGCGGGCGGGGCGAAGCACCGGAAGGGCAAACAAGCGGAGCGAGGTGCTGGTCCCTCCAGCGGGGCCGGCATCACGTCGGGGCACAGCGGAGGGTCTGGGGGGTCAGGGAGCCTCCGCCAGCGGTGTGCTGGTGGTCTAGGGCCACGGCTCGGGGGTCAAAGGCTGCTGCTATTTCTAAAAATCCCATCTACCCTGAGGGGGTCTTACTGTACCTGGTAGCTGAAGGCCATCCCCCTTCTTCACACCTGTGTGATGATTTTTGAGACATGTTAATGAAGGAGAAGCACATACAGCCCAGCCTCACCTGCATGTACAGGCACGCACGCACGCACACGCACACGCACGCCTGCGGTCATCCTGACATGGGGGCCCGCCGTGGAGGTGGAGGGGATGGGATGGGAGTGCAGAGGCGCCCCAGTCCCCGCCATGCTGCTCACGGGCGCTTGAGAGGCTCGGCTGCCCCCATCTTCCTCTGCCATGGCCCCCCCACATCCCGCTTCTTCCCTCTACACGGACACTCCCATCTCACTGGGATGCAGGTGTGTGTTCGGTAAAGGACTCTGACCTGTGCTTCAGGGCAGGAGAGGCCTGTCTTCCTACCAAAATCTTCGAGGACACAGGTCTGGCTTCTGCCCCTCACGCAGGCCCCAGTGAGGCTAAGAAAAGGAGCAAAGACTGCCTCATCCTGCCATACCCTGCCCACTGCCTCTATCTGCCCAACTGTCTGCACCCTGGGGCCGGAGCCGGCCACAGCTTCTGTGTCACTCTGTGGACGCTGTCCTGACACCCTCTGGGCCTCTTTACTAGGACTTTATCCTCAGTTTCAACCTCAGCAGTTTCCTGGTTCTCTCCAGCTTCTGGACTTCCCTGAGGACAGCTCAGCTCCACTGTTCCTGCTGGTGGGGCTGCCATAATCTTAGGGGGACCCCTCTAGAAAATGGGGTATTGCCCTTGGGAACAAGTGACCTTTGGTTATGACCCAGGCTCTGTGCCTGGTTAGCTCCAGAGAGCTGGAGGTAGCAGGGCTGCCCCTAAACCTCAAGGAGGGGCCATTGACGTTCTCATCTCCTTCCCCTGGACCACAGATGGTCTGGCTGTTGGGAACCCCCTTCTGGAGCTTGGGGAAGGAGACAGGACAAAAGACGAAAGATGTGAGAGGGGTCTGTCCCTGACACTGAGCGTAGGTGTTGGGGAAGGAGCTAGCTGCTCTGGGGCCAGAGGCCTGGGCCTTTGGATTTGGGCCTAGCCAGATGGGCATCCCTCCCTCTGCTCTGAGAGGCCCTTGTAGCCCAGGCTACCAGCCTGCCACACTGAGGGGCACCCCGGGGAATAGGAATCTTGTTTCCGAGGCAGAGGAGGAGCCAGGATCCAGGCAAGGTGGCAGCTCTAGGTGGGGGAGGGGTGAGAGAGGGAACCACAAGTGTGGCCACCTTTCCTAGAATCTCCTCTGCCCCCATCTGGGCCGAGTCTGTGCGGGGGTGGTTTGCAGCTCTGCTCTGTGGAGTTGAGAATGGTGGTAGGAGTGAGCGCAGGTGGGGCTTTCTACTCCATGTCAGGACTGATGAGGGGACCAGGTCACACTCGAGGCTGGAGACTCAGCAAAGGGCTCAGCACCCTGAGCCTGGCTTGCGGGGGAGGGTCCTCCATGACATGACCGGACAGACAGAGACTGGGACAAGACCCTGGAGATGGAACAGACAGAAACCTCCTGGGCCGAGCAGGGCCTCAAGGATGCAGGAGGAGGCTGTTGGCACAGGGCGTAGACACAGAAGGCACTCAATAACTATTTTGTTGAGTGAATGAATAAACAACAAAAAAGTGACCTGAAGAGTGCCTCTCCTGGTCCGTGAGAGGGTCGTGCTTACCTTTCTTGTCTTTCTTCTCTTCCTCCTCACCGCCAGCCCCCAGCAGGGTGAAGATGATGCCGGTCTGAGAATTCACCCCCACGGCAGTCACTACCATCCGTCCAGAGCCCTCCATCACGTGGGTCCCTGGGGAAGGGGACAAGAGCCAAGTTACCGTTGCATGGGCCCAAGCCCCCTCCCCAAAGGAGTGGAAGGAACTGGATCCCAGAAAGCTCCTGGCTCTTTGCCTGCCAAGGTCCTGGGGTACCACCCATGGTTAGGGTTCAAACTACATATTGTAGAGGCTTTCACTTCGGGACAGGGCTGTAATGGGCCCGGGACTCAACCACTGCTCCTCCTCACTTCTTAGGCCTACCACCTACTACCTTCTCCTGGAGAGTCACCTCCCTCTCTGTCCTAGACAGGACTGGACAGGACCACTTATAAAGGGGTCTACTCCCTTCTAACCATCTGGGAAAGAACTCAGGGCTCTGGGAACTTGGAAGAGAAGACGATGGCATCCTTCTTTTCACAAACATCTAGCTGAAATTTAGCATTTCCATATGAACATAGGCAACCAACCCCAGGAGTGTTCGTGGCCCACAACGCCATTACATGCATTACAAAGAGTGCAGGTTCTCTGTCCTTTGACTTTGTAGTTGTTGCAATCATTTATGCTCATCCTAATCTTACAAGCACAGAGGTTATTAGACTACCTGCCAGACCTGGTTATTAGGGTGCTGACGAAGAAGCACATACATTACTCCATCACACATTGTTTATTACGTTAACTACTTCAATATAATGAACTTCCTTTGTGATCCAGTGTATTTTATTTTATGCATTTTAAAGCTTTATTCTGAGTATGGGTGGTACGTGATAACACTAGACCTCCCCAGGCTCCATGGTGCAAGAAAACCCCCTTTGTAGAATTTTAGGATTTTCAAACTGGGTTTTAAAGGGCCCTGGATGGGGCGCCTGGGTGGCTCAGTCGTTAAGCGTCTGCCTTCGGCTCAGGTCATGATCCCAGGGTCCTGGGATCGAGCCCCGCATCGGGTTCCCTGCTCGGCGGGGGGCCTGCTTCTCCCGCTCCCACTCCCCCTGCTTGGGTTCCCTCTCTCACTGTCAAATAAATAAAATCTTAAAAAAAAAAAAGGGCCCTGAAATTCTTTTGAAGGGCAGGAGAGTGGGCCGAGGGGGGAGAGGGAGGCCTCTTGTCAGAGTGGTTCCACTTTTATTCATCTTTGGGGTTTCTGTGTCAGCTGCTGTGTGACACAGGTCCCCCCGACCTGCAGGCGCAGAGGGCAGGTGGTCCAAGGTTCACTTGGGCACCCCTCCAAGTTCATGCCAGACTGAGGATAAAATGCAAAGGTAAAGCTGCTGAAAACTGTGCTATATACACACAACGGAATATTATTTGGCCTTCGAAGGGAAGGCAATTCTGACACAGGCTACAACACGGTTGAGCCTTGAGGATATTACGCTCCGTGCAAGATACCAGGCACAGAAGGACAGCTGCTGTGGATTCCGCGGCAGGAGCTCTGTAGAGCAGTCAAAGTCACAGGGACGGAGCGCGGAATGGTGGTTGCCAGGGGCCAGGGAGGGAGGTTTCAGGGGGGCTACTGTTCAATGGCTCTGGAGGTTCGGTTTTGCAATATGAAGAGTGCCGGAGGTGGACGGTGGTGATGGTTGTGCCAGGTGTGAATGTCCGTAACGCCAAGGACCTGTACACTTAACAATCCTTAATGTGGTACATTTTATGTGTATTTTATCACGATAAAAGAGTTGGGGAAAAAAAAAAAGCAAACCCGCTGAAGCCGTGGCCTCACTGGGGAAACAGGTGAGCCCAGGGTGGGGTCGGGAGGCGGCTGGGATCCAGCCCGGGACGTGGCCGGCTGCTACCTTGGCCTGGTCCTGACAGAGGAGATGTGGGCACAGCCAGCCCTCTATCCTCAGGCTGGTGCCGGGGACATGTCACTGTGTCCTAGGAGCTGTCACAGACCCACAGGCCACTCACAGGGTCGGCCTGCATGGGGTCTCCTGCAGCAGGCTCTGGGCACCCCCTGGGGAGGCCCTTCGGCCTGCACTTAACAGTGGCCCCGCTGTTTAGTCAAGAATCTAGGTAAGTGCAGTTTGCATCTCCAGGCACCCATTTTTTATTTTAAATTTAAACTTTTACTAGCCTGGGTGGAAAGGTCTCTTCAATGCAGCATGTGTTTCCTTCCCCAACGGAGAGGGGAGCATCTCAGGATATCCTCAGGCTGCACAGAAAGAACCAGAGCGGGGCGGAAGGCTAAAAGGCCCTGATGACTTGTTTTTTTTTTTTAAGATTTTATTTATTTATTTGAGAGAGAGAGAGAGAGAGAGAGCATGCACAAGCAGGGGGAGGGGCAGAGGCAGAGGGAGAAGCAGATTCCCCCCTGAGCAGGGAGCCTGACACGGGGCTTCATCCCAGGACCCTGGGATCATGACCTGAGCTGAAGGCAGACGCATGTGCGCGTGGGTGTATGTGTGCGTTCTAGCCCCTTGCCCTCTAAGATCTCATGATCTCAAAATGCTTTACAGACAGGCAGATGGACACTCTCCAGTGAGTTCCTTCATGGCAGGTAAAGGTCAGTCTATCTGTGCATGGGTAAACCAAGTCACGCAGGCTCCCAGAGGGTGTGCGGAACCCGGTGAGCTGTAACAGAACCCAGATGTTCAGATGGTGACCTCTTCGGCGGGCTCCTTGTTCATTCCCAGGACAGAAGGACAGTGCTCTTGTGTCTCTGGGCAGGGAACAGTGGGGACCACAGGATGACCTTGGACACTGATGGCAGGTTGAGAAGCCCAGGCAGACCCCGGAGCCCATCTACTCACCCATGGGGCACAAGCCGGGACAACCAAGGCCCACTGGCAGGAATTGGTAACTATAACTTGTTGACAAGATTTCTGTGCACTGGCTCAGCTGGTGTGGGGTGTGTGGGGCACTGTGAAATATCAGCAATATTAGACAGAGGAGGAGCCCGGGGTCTGGGGGAGGTCACATGGCAGAGGGGGGGGCATCACCAGATTTTTCAAGGTGAGGGAGGAACATATTGCATTGATTCAGAGTATGGATGGCAGTGGCCGTGGCCAGCGCTGACCTCCATGGGACACCTCCTGTGTGCCAGGCATCGAGCTAAACCCTTCATAGGGCGTCATCTCATTAGTCCTCACCCTGGCCCTGCATTTACAGAGGAGAAAACTGAGGTTCAGGGAGAAGTGGCTTGCCCAGGGTCATCGGCCTGTGGGGGCAGAGCCAGGATTTGAACGCCTCCCCATCTCTCAAGCTGATTCTCTTTGTCACATACAAGTCCCCATCTCAGGAAGCCAGGCCCTCACACCCTGGTCTCAAACACATTCGGAAAATGTTTGCTCTGCCTGGGTGGTAATGGGGAGGCCAGTCCCCACCTCCCCAGCCCAGAGCAGGTTGGAAAAATACACAGGGGGCCAATTTCCACCCAAGATAATCAGACCCCAAATCACCTTCTAATCTAATCACTCCCATCACAGCAGGGAGCTGACAGTTCTGCCCAGGGAGGCAGGGAGGAGGGAGGAAGAAGCCAGGGAGGCAGCCTCCGGCCACAATGTGAGACATGGGACAGGAGTGCACAGGGTGAAGGCACAGCACATGCCCTGCTCAGCCTTAGATGAGCCTCAGGGTGGTCCTCCAGGCCCCAGCATTAGATGGGCCAGGGGAGCTGGGTCCCAGCAGCTCCCCCCACTCCCGGCCATGGCTCTAACCACTGTCCCCCAGCCCAGACACCCTCAGTAGCATCTCCAAGGTCCAAATATCTCTCAGCGCGCCCTGGGTGAGACCCCAGCCTGCTTCTGACCCTTGATCACTGATTCCTGCCCCATGGCTTCTGCCTTGGAAGCATGCCGCTCACTAGGGATTTGTGGTCAGTCCCTCACCTTGGCTCACACAGTTACCCCCTCCTGAGTGCCCTTCTCCCTCCTCTGGCCCCAAACCTCCTCCTCTAGGCTCGGGATGAAGGCCCCTCTTAGGTGGCCTTCCCTGACCTCCACTTCATCTCTCTCCTCTGAACTGCCCTCCCACCTACTGTTTCCCCTGGGGGTGCTTCCAGGCCTGACTCCCCAACTAGACTGTGAGCTCCTTGAGGGTAGGTTCTGAGTGCGAGTCTCCCCTTAGCAGAGCCCAGCTTGTAACCGGAACTCCAGCACACTTTTTTTTTTTTTTAACTGCTGCCTCCTTTTTATATATTTTCCCTGGTAGGTATGTGTTACATTTAGGATGGAGAATCTCTACACCCCCTCAGAAGCCATCTTTATGGTTTGGCAAGGGGTCAGATTCATCCTAGCCTCACGCTCTTCCCCACCCCTCACGGGGCCATCCCTTCCCCCTACCAGGACCTCAGAGCCTGCTGCCCCTCCTAGCAGGAGGAAAAATTGAATGGACCAGGTCACCCCCTGCAGCAATCGTACCCCAGCTCCAGAATACCCCTCAAAGGGTGATGTTTGACCCCACGGGCTACAGCTCTAATGGTGGAACCAAGTCAAGGTCGATTGACTAAATCTCCCAAAGGAACACAGCAGGGTCTCTGGGTAGCTGCAGAGCTGAGAACCCTTCGGCTGGGTGGGGGGCCCTGGCAGGGCCTTGCACCAGGACCTCAATGTCCATGGTCCGTTGGCACCATCCTGTAGCCCCCACCTCCTCTAGTCTCACGGAGCCCCTCAGAATACGTAAGCACAGGGGGCGGGTAGATAGTGCTCTGGGCCGAGGGTGGGTGGGACCTGGGAACCATCTGCTGTCTGCTTCTGATTTGATGTGTGACCTGAGGCCAGCCCTCTCCTCTCTGGACCTCAGACTGTCCTCTGGAGAACGGGGAGGTCTAACTTACATCATCACCTCTCAGCGATGAAGTCTGGGCACCAAGGGTCCCAGAGAGACAGGGCCACTCCTGGGTGGCGTAGGGCAGCCTCCATGAAAACGCTGTATCTCGGGAGTCGGGAATCTCAGTTTGGATGGGATCTTGGTCTGGATGGGATCCTGTGCAGACAGACTGACCGAGTGTGGCTTTTCCTGCCTGGGGCCACACTCCTTCACTTGATGGTCACATGTGGTGGATTGCCAATTCTGTGCCAGGCTCTGGGGCCCAAAGGGA